AAAAAAAAAAGAAAAAAGAAAATTAAGAGGGTTGAATGCAATAAAAGATGGTAAAACATTTTATAAAATACAAATGGTGGTTCACTTGTTTCCACCGATGCAAGTTGCCAAACGTTACACTCATTTGATTCCCCTGGAAAGTCTTCTACAAAGTTTGATAGGACCCTGTCTCTTTAAATCCTTCCCAACCACCTAAAGTAGTTCGTGAAGTCCGCACATGCGCATTCCTCTGCGCGAGCCCCACCAACAGCCTTCCCCTTAACCAGACGCAAGGAGGTTAAAGGCCCTCCCACACAGTACTTGTACGCAAGCGCATATCATGATTGAGGGCACTATATCACGCTCTGAGCCCAGTCCATTTTTTGCGCCTGAAGGCTCCGCCCCTCGCGGCCAATCAGCTGGACGTGCCTTCTGCTGTGGCCAATAGCAGCTAGTGTAGGGGCGTGGCCTAGCGTCAGGGGGCGCGGCCTGGAGCCGAGAGAAGAGCTGGAGGGAGCCGGGGGCTCTAGTGCACGGCGCAGCCGGACTGGATCACAGGCTGGAGGCCCGTGGAGGCGGCCGGGACCCAGCGGTCCCCAAGATGTCACGATGGCTGAGTTCGTGGTCGAACTCTGTGAAAGAGCGGGTGTGCCGTTACTTGCTGCAGCACTACTTGGGTCGTTTCCTCCAGGAGGACCTCAGCGTGGACCAGCTCAGCCTGGATCTCTACAAGGGCAACGTTGCTCTGCGGGACATCCACTTGGAGATCTGGGTGAGGAACTAGGCCAGGGCTGGGAAGGGTCCCGGGATGGGAGCGCAGCGACGCGGGCCTCAAACGAGAGAATCTGACTGGGGGACCCAGGCCGGGCCACCCCAGACAGCCTCCGGGCCTCATGGCACCCCGCTGGTGGCTTCTGCTCTTTCCCAGAGACAGGCTAGGGAGGGATGCCCCTTGTGTCGGAGTGCCAGCTTAATGACATCGAAGTCCGGGACGAGGGAAGGGTTGAGCGACACCTGGGGCGACTGAGGGCCCCAGTGTAGTGAGGCCTGGGCAGCCGGTAGGGCAGTCTGGTATGGGGGTCCAGGTCCCTGGCGAGGGCACCTGTGGAAAATGCGCCCTGACCTCCTGACCCCACAATCCCAAGCCCGGTGGGTGGGGTTCGCCTCCTCATGTGGATGTCAACAACAGCGTCAGCACCCGAGTTGATCAACACGGCGGCGGCGTGTGACTGCTACCGCGGCCGCAATCTACTTCCTGCTTTCAGGAGAGTAGGGCAGACCTAGCGATGTCTAGGGAGAGACTTGGGGCCCAGCATCTCTACCTGGAGGGAACCCTCAAGGAAGATTGGACGTCTGGCCTGGGTTAGGAAGGAAGCCAAGGAGAGATACTGGGAAGCTGAAGGAAGGTCCAGGAAGGAAGGTCTGAGTTGGAGGCCTGAGGCCCCATTGTGAAGGGCTGAGCTGACCTGGGAGATGGCAGAGGAGCCACAAATTAGAGGCCCAGTTCAGGGATGGTACTCATTCTACCTTCTAGGTCCAGAGCAGCACAGTGGGCCCAGGTGCAGGGCCTTCTCTGTTGGCATCCTCCAGTAGTCTGTTGTCTCTGAGGTTCTGTGTGGGAGGCCTTCTGACCTCAGTCTCTTGACTGGACTGAAAAGTGGCCCAAACTTTAGTGCCCCAGAAAGCAGAAAGAACTTCGCAATGTCTTCCCTTATTGAGGGCTCCTGACTAGGCTACTTTTTTCTTTCTGTCTTTTTTTTTTTTTTTTCAGAACCAGGGATTGAACTCAGACCCTTGTGCTTGCCAGGGAAGCACTTATTTTACTCAGCCATCTCCTTGGCCCCTTTTTGTCTTTTTTTTTTTTTTTTTTTTAAACGACAGGATTTTGTATGTACTTCAGGTTGGCCTGGAACTTGCAGCCATCCTCTTACCTCAGCCTCCTGAGGGCTGGGATTACAGGCGTGTACCACCACGCCCAGCTAGCTAGACTACTTTTCAGTTTAGCCCCTGGCAGTATTGTAAACAGCTTATTGTTAACCATCCCCTTTACCCAGTTGCAGGCCCACCATGGTGGTCTCCAAAGACTATACCTGGAGATTCAGGTGGGTTGGGAAGGCCTGGGTCCCAACTTCAGTCCTCATAGTACATAGGGCCATTACATCAGTTTCTTCCTTCTGGATCCTAGTTTCCCCATCCCTAGGACTGAGTGAGGAATTTGGACTCAGTCTCCATGCGCCTTCTGGTTCTATGGTTTGTTGGTTTGTTTGTTTGTTTTTAATTATGTATTTATTTGGTACAGGGTCTCACTACATAGCTCAGATTCATAGTAATCCTCCTGTCTCAGCCTTCTCAGTGCTGGGATTACAGGTGTGCAACAGGCATGCACCAGCACACCCTTTTGGTATCCTTTGTAGCACCCAGGGTTCCAGGGCCAGCCCGATCATGCAGTACCCAGTATTGAACTCTTGCCAGCAGGTGCGTAGACCACTGAACTATCTCCCGAGCCCCTTTTTTGTCTTTTAAGATAGGGTCTCACTATGCAGTTCAGGCTGGCCTTGAGCTCACTTTGTAGCCCAGGCTGGTCTCAAACTCAAAACGATCCCCAGTGCTGGGATTATAGGCATACACTACCACTCCTGCCCTCTGTGTTTTTGTTTTGTTTTGTTTTTTATTTAAAGTTGGCTTCTTATTGAGTCTAGGCTAGCCTTGAATTTGAATTTACTTGTGCTGAGGGGCTCCTGCCTCAACCTCTCAAACACTGAGATTAAGGTGTATGCCACCACACCTAGTTTAGTCATTTGCATGTCCGAAAAGTGCTTTTTGAGGCTTTCCTGGTGACACCATGTAGGAGAGCACTGTGGTCACTGGCTGTCAGGGGTACAGGCATTTGGAGGGGTCTCAGTCTTGTGCCTCAGAACTAGAAATGTTTGGGCCTCAAGGGTCCTACCTTTTAAACTCTGCTTGCCCACAGTGAACATGGGGTGCACTGCCTTCTGCTGAACTGGTGCATGCTTAACATGCAACTATGTGTCCCTCTGCCTGCTACCTAATCTTTTCTTTTTTTTTTTTTTTTTTTTTTTTTTTGTGGTACTGGGCATCAAACCAGGGACCTTGCACTTGCCAGGCAGGCGCTTGTATGCCACTGAGCTATCTCCCCTGCCCCTGCCTAATCTTTACCTTCCCATTTCTCCCCTCCCTGGGTCCCCAGGCTGCATTAGGTACAGTTCCCTCCTCTGTGCCTCTTCTTTGAGTTTCTTCCCAATGTGTCTAGAATCCACTGGATATGTCCTACTTGGGTTGGAGGTGAAGACATTTTATTTACCTGTGTTGTCTGGGCTTGAGCACATAGAAGCTGCTCAGTAATTTTTTTTTAATAATTGTGCTAGTTGACCTCAAGACTCTTATACTGACCTACATCCTAGGCTTTATTTATTTTCTTGAGACAGTCTTGGTATATAGTTAAGGCTGGACTTGAGATTGTGGCAACCCTTCTGCTTCAGCCTGAGTAGAGTGTGGGGGTTACAGGCATGTACCGTAAAAGACATGATTTGTATAAATTGCTTAGGATGAGCTTGAACGCTTTACCTCCTGCCTTACCCGTTCAGAGTTCTGGGATTACAAAATGTGCTTTACCTCACCAGTTATGATTTTTTTTTTTTTTAAATGTATTTTACCCTGGCAAGCGCAAGGGCCTGAGTTCAATCCCTAGTTAAGTATTTTAGTACAGGATCTACAGTGTCTCACTACACAGATTGGACTCCTAGTGATCCTCCAGTTTTTCAGCCTCCCAAATTGCTGGGATTACTGGTGCAGGCTCTATGCCCAGTCTCAATCACTGTTATTGTGCTCTGGGGGTGGGGCGCAGCACACCTGGGATTGAACCACAGCCCCTGCATCTGCCTAAACAGGCACTTTAATCCGCTGAGCTATCCAGCAGGCCCCCAGCATTGATTTTTGAGTTGAATGGAGAGGGAAACATCTGAGGTGGTTTGAAGGGTTAAGCGCTTTAGATATGGAGCAGTAGAGCAGGCCAGGGTGGGGAGCTCCAGGAGCCACAGCAAGGCTGGTAACTAGCCTGTGAAGAGATGAGAAAACACTCCAAGATGAGTGGCTAAAGCAAGGGTGTGGCAGCCAGCCAGATGTGGGACTTCACTGAGCTTACTTTGTCCTTGTCTCCAGGCTGTGAACGAGGTGCTGGAGTCTTTGGAGTTGCCAGTGGAGCTAGTGGATGGCTTCATGGACTCCATCGAGGTGGCTGTGCCTTGGGCTGCACTGCTCACTGAGCACTGCACTGTGTGTGTGTCAGGCCTCCAGCTCACCCTGCAGCCCCGCCAGGGTCCAGGTAAGGACAGCATGACTGGGGCAGGTACCTGGGAGGAGCTGTTTGAATTTGGTTGCCCTGAGACCCACTTCCTCCATCAGGGCCAGGGGCTGCTGACTCTCAGACCTGGGCTTCATGTATGACCACAAGCCTGCAGCTGGCCCAGGAATGTCTGCGTGAAGGGCTATCTGAGCCCTCAGAACCACCACAGCTCTTAGAGGGGCTAGAGATGTTCGCACACACAATCGAAACTGGTACGTAGGCCCTTTCTGCCTCCACTGCCCCCATCCCTTTTGTGGCCCAGGAACAGAGGCTGCAGGTAGCACAGCTACCTAGCTGCCCACAGGGGAAACGCTTTCTGTCTAGCTGCTCTACCTGATCCGAGCCCTTCACCACCCCCAGTGCTGCGGAGTATCAAGGTGATCTTCCTAGACACTGTTGTGAGGGTGGAGCACTTGCCTACTAACCATGAGCACCGCGTGGCCCTGGAGGTCCATGTGCAGAGGTAGGGGCAGGCTGGTTGGGGTGTCCTAGTGGGAGCTATTGCATGGGCCTGTTGACCGAACCTCTGCCTAGCACAATCTCCTAGGATGGGGTGGGCCAGGGCTGTGGTGGGCTGGGCGGTTGAGCGGTGTTGGGAACCTAGACTGGTGGCCAGAGCCAGGTGGTGCAGACCCAGGGTAACTGGTGTCCCGAGGACGAGGTTAGATCCTGAGGGTCAGAGAGCAAGGGTCAGCCTGAGCCCCCTAGTTAAGTGTGGTAGGCCAGGACAGCCTGGGTATGATGAACAGTTCTGCAGGTCGAGCTTCCCAACCCCATACCCCTAGAACAGAGCACTGTGTGGAGAGAGGGCTCCAGGCCTGGGGTGGCTGGGACAAGGGCTGACCCTGCGCTCCCCAGACTGGAATACTGTGATGAGGCATTGCGGGACCCAAGCCAGGCACCCCCCATAGATCTGCACCAGCCACCTGCCTTCCTGCACAAGCTGCTGAAGCTGGCGGGGATCCACCTGTACTTTGAGGAGTTCCCCTCACAGGTGAGTAAACTATTGGCTCCCACACCCCTGATCTCCCTGCCTGCCTCCATCCCTCTGACCATCTTCGCAACTCCTGCAGGCAGAACCATCAAGCCTCCCCCTGCAGATTGGCAGCTGCTCGGGGTACATGGAGCTGACAGTGAAGCTGAAGCAGAATGAGGCTTTTCCAGGCCCTAAGGTACATCCCCAGCCCCTTAGGAAGGAGAGTGTGTGCTCCATCTCAGGCCCATCCTCAGTGATCCAGTCATCCATAGGCTAGAGTGATGGGGGGAACATAAAGAAATGACTGTCTTGGCAATTAGAGGAATGGTAGCTCAGAGAGGTCACATTGTGGCCATGCTCATACAGCTAGTTGGTGACAGTTTATTGTAACAATGGGCATCTCTTCCACAAGGAGACAATAAGTGGGTGGCATCTCCCTGAGGAGCTGAGTGGTAGGTACAGGTTCCTCCATGCCTGTCCCCTTGGCCCCCAGTTGGAGGTGGCAGGACAGCTGGGCTCCCTGCACCTGCTCCTGACTCCTCAGCAACTCCAGCAGCTCCTGGAACTTCTCAGCACTGTCGGCCTTGCTGGTGAGGCTTCTGGGTAGGCTGGGGTGAGTGGTGGGGAAGGGCCAGCCTGGCTGGACTGAAATGTCCTTCCCTATAGAACCAGAAGTCCTGGCTGACAAGTTGAACAAGAGCCGCCCGCTAGATGCTGAAGACCTGTGGTTGATTGAGCAGGATCTAAACCAGCAGCTGCAGGCTGGTGCTGTGGCTGAGCCCCTCAGCCCAGATCCCCTTACCGCTCCTCTAAACATGGACAGCACTGGTGGGTGTGGGACCAATAGGGTCAAGGGGCAGCTGTGCAGGCAGGAGTCTGGGGACCCAATCTGTCTATGCTGACTCCCTCACTTTGCCCTCAGACCTCTTCTTCTCCATGGCTGGCCTCACAAGCAGTGTGACCTCAGCTGTCTCAGAGATGTCGCTCTCTGATGTAGACCTGGGCTCTTCTGTGCATACCAATGTAGCCTCCCGCCGGCTCTCTATCCCAACCCATGCAGTAGGTAAGCTGGGAACCTTGGGTGAGGTTCTAGGGGCAAGAAGGGTTAGCAGAGGTCTCTATCCAGTGGGCTGCCAAATGTACCCAAGTGGCCTCGAGTAATGCCTGGAGTCCAGCCTCCTATGACTATTCCTGGGGACCTGGCTCAGGGGAGATGGTGGTACTGTAGACTTGGCCTAGATGGCCAAGTCAGCACTCTGAGCCAAGTGCTTAAACTTTCTAAGAGTCAGTCTCCTGTGAAAGACCAACCTGTATGTTGTCAGTATTTGAGCTTATTGTAGACCATACCTTTTAGCACCATGAGGGGTTATTTTGATTCTGTGTAAAAGGTCTGGCCAATCCTGGGGTAATCCTCATGATGGGCAGATTTTGGCCCCCACAGTGCAGCTTACCCTAAGTTTCTCCAGACCACAGGTCTAGGACTGTTACTCCACATGGGGTCCTTATGAGCTCCCAGGAGCTCCTTGTGAAGCCTCTGTCCCCCCAGGAAAGGCGGCCCCCACTCTCTCTGTGGACACCATGCGCCCTGACTCGCTGTTGAAGATGACCTTAGGGGGCATGACCATGACCCTGCTCCAGACTTGTGCCCCATCTTCCGGACCACCTGACCTCGCCACCCACTTTTTTGCTGAGTTTGATGCCACCAAGGATGGGCCCTTCAGCTCCCGAGACTTCCACCACCTTCGGCAGTGCTTCAAGAAGGCCTGTCCCTGTAGCCATGTCCGGTACAAAACACAAGCCCAAGGCAAGGGCCTACACTGAAAACTCTGGTGTCTGCAGATCCATCTTTTGAAGGTATCTTCTTCCCCACAGGCTGACAGGCACAGCTCTGCAGCTGTCATGGGAGCTGAGGACCGGCAGTCGAGGCCAGCGAGTGAGCCGCACAGATGTGCACTTCGGGCAGCTGGAGGTGCTAGAGTGCCTGTGGCCTCGGGGCAGTGCAGAGCCTGAGTACACCGAGGTGAGAGCAGAGGTGAGGCCTGGGGTCTTGAGTGGGCATTGAGGGCAGCCTGACTTTGCTCACCTCTCGTATCCTGTCCCAGATCCTGAGTTTTCCCAGTAACCTGGGTTCCCAGGCCTCAGCTCAGCCCTGCGCCCACCTGCGTCACATACAGACCCTGCGCCGCATGCCAAAGGTAACCAGCTCTACTGTGGGCTGAGGGACTGTTCACTGCTTCCTGTGGTTGGTTGAGCCCCCTGGCCTCTTGTCAGTGTCTCCTCAGTCCTGGCCCCCATATCCTGTGCCCCAGCCAGCTAGCTATCCCGTGCTACTCTGAGGGCCCTTAGACGTCTTATTCTGTTCTTCTTGGTGCCTGCAGTTCTCTTAATCTGGTGGCCTCTTCTCTGTCTCAGTGGGCCTCTGCAGCTGAGAGAGGGCAAGTAATAGGTAGTTTTCTATTTTTTAATTATTTTTTCTGTGCTAGGAATTGAATTTATAGGACCTTGCACTTGCCAGGTGCTGTGCTACTGACAAGTGGATTTTTTCAATCAGTATTTCTTCTGCATTGGGCAAAGCATCAAATGTCTACCCCAGTCTCCTCTTGGGTTCCCTGTCCCAGCTGTTCCCCCACCACCAGGAGGATTTGGGTATTGTGTTGAGAGGAAGCAATTTCCCATAGTACCCCTTCCACCCCATAACCACTATTGTTCTAAATACCTTCGCCCCTAAACAGAGCCGGCCTCGGCGCTCTGTTGCCTGCCTTTGCCACTCAGACCTGGCCCTGGACCTAGCTGACTTCCAGGCAGATGTGGAGCTGGGAGCTCTGGACCGACTTGCTGCCCTTCTGCACCTTACCACTACATCCCCTGAGCTGCCAGCTGGCCTGCTGGTGAGATATCCTGCTGGGACCTGCCTTGGGTGGACAGCAGAACACAGCCCTCTGGCCCTTAACTGTAGTGATAGGAGCCTTGGTGGCACCTCTGACCCCAACCCTTTCACAGACAGAGCCCCCGCTAGCCACTGAGCAGCAAACAGTGTTTCGGCTCTCAGCACCCCGGGCCACGCTAAGGCTACGCTTCCCCATCGCTGACCTGCGGCCTGAACGAGACCCCTGGGCAGGCCAAGCTGTGCGGGCTGAGCAGCTGCGGCTGGAGCTGAGTGAGCCCCAGTTCCGGTCAGAGCTTAGCAGTGGGCCTGGTCCCCCAACCCCTACCCACCTGGAACTCACCTGTTCTGACTTACATGGTAAGAGCACCTGGCCGACAGCAGCAGTGTGGGGACCCAGGCCTTTGGGGAAGGCGGCCTTGGGGTCACAGTAGGAGCAGAACTTGGCACAGACCTTTACTAGCTCTGTGGGCACTGGCTTCAGTGTCCTGGCTCCTGGGAAGCAGGTGGAGTGGAGGAGCGAGCCCTTCATCCAGGGGCTTCTGCATGTCTTAAGTGTCTAATCTGATGACTCAAATCTTTACACCCCTTCTAGCAACCTATGAAGATGGAGAGAAGCCACCCGTCCCCTGTCTGCGTGTCTCCAAAGTCCTGGACCCCAAAAGCACAAGCCGCAAGTACTTCCTGCCCCAGTAAGTGGGGACTGTTGAGGGGGCAGCTAAACAGCAGGATTCTATGCCCAGGGATGGATGGGGGCCAGGCTCCAGAGGACACACAGTGACACATCATTGTCCCGGCAGGGTAGTGGTGACCCTGAACCCCCAGCCTAACAGCACACAGTGGGAAGCAGCCCCAGACAAGGCAGAGGAGCTGGAGCTGTCCACCGAGAGCCCATGCGAGCTGCGGGAGCCTGAGCCTTCACCTTTCTCCTCCAAGAAGACCATGTATGAGACAGAAGAGGTGAAGCGCAACCCCGCCTCTGCCATGGGTGCCAGCTATGTGATGGGCTAGGTGACAGGACCACCTGGGATGAGTGGGATGTGACCCATTAAATGGTGAGGATTTGTGTTTTTTTTTTTTTTTTTTTTTTTCCTCCGGAACCAGGGATTTGAACTCAGACCTTTGCGCTTGCCAGGCAAGCGCTTACTCTACTGAGCCATCTCCCCGGCCCCGTTTTGTGTTTCTTACTTGGGGCCAGTAAGGGAGTTCAAACCCCTACCTCTGTTCAGGGCCAAGAGGGAAGCGCATTGGCAAAGACAGCCCCCTGGTGGGGAGGATCAGTACCCCAGACCACCGTGGCCATTGGCAGCGGTGTCCTTTTGGGATGTTTTTTGAAGTAAATGAGGACTGAGTCAGAAGCACTTCTTTCTGGGCCTGGCTGTGGGTCCAAATTGCCTGGGGTTGAGTGCAGGCCTGCCACTCAGGCTATGTCAACTTGGGGAGTTTCCTCCCCCAGAAGTGGGCACAAGCACTCTGTTATAGGCTGTTGGGAGGATTAAAGGAGTTCATGCCCTTAGATCAGGATCAGTATGCCACCAGCATGTGGTGTGCATGCATTCTCCCAGGAGGTAAGGAAGGGCTTCTGTGAAAGAAATAATGGAAGAAGGAATGAGTGAATGAACGATGGTCAGGACTAAGTCTCCGACCAGAGCCAGCAGTAGGCACTGAGAGTCTGAGATGATTTCCCACTGCACCTTTCCCCTTCTGTGTCTAGATGGTGATTCCTGGAGACCCTGAGGAGATGCGGATGTTTCAGAGCCGGACCCTGGCACTCTCCCGCTGCAGCCTGGAAATGACCCTGCCAAGTGCCCATGTCTTTCTGCCCAGCAAGGAGGTCTATGAGAGCATCTATAACAGGTGGGGACCCAGGCAGGGCAGGGCAGGGCAGGGCTGGGCAGGGCCAGAGCCAGGGCCTAAGCCATCCCTCCTTAACCTGCCATCCATCCTTCCTCTCAGGGTAAATAACGACCTGCTCATGTGGGAGCCCGCAGACCTGCTCCCCACTCGTGGCCCTGCCACCCAACCCTCTGGCTTCCCTAGCTCCTCAGGCCTCTGGCATGAAAGCTTCAAGATGTGCAAGTCTGCCTTCAAACTGGGTATGAGGAGCGTTCTGGGGGACCCGAGGGGGAAAGGGCAGGGAAGGGCTGACCAGGCTCTCCAGGCCCTGTCTGTGACTACTGGCTACCCTGATCTCATCCCAGATTCAGACTCAGACGATGAGGATGTCCACTTCTCAACAAAGGCATCAGGTGCCCCCCAGGTGCCTGCCCCTGCGCCCCGGAATCGCCAGTCCCAGAGCACCTTCTCTACACTGGTGACAGTGCTGAAGGGTAGAATCACAGCCCTCTGTGAGGCCAAGGTGAGGGCAGTCCTAGCCAAGTAAGCCCCAAGCCCTCTAGATAGGCAAGAGGATAAACATGGAACCTCCAGGGGGGACAAGGGAAGTGGGAATCCCAAGTGGTTAACAGTATGCACCTGTGGCCCTGACCCACATGTGCCAGCCCATGTATCCCATTATACCCAGCAGCCGCTTACTAGCAACCTGTCCTTGTAAACCCCCATGCTGGGTGGGTGAGAATGGGCCCCATTTGTACCCAAAAGGATGCTGGGCAGAGATAATTCTCCTTTGGCAAAGAGGCAGGTGCTGCCAGGGCCTAGGGAACTGAAGGCAGGGCACCTGGAGATGCCTCACGAGGCCCTGGGAGCTACGGGGCAATGGGTGAAGCTGGGCATGTTCTCTTTGCAGAATGAGAGTGGGAAGCGGCTGGAGGGCACACATGGTGAGATGGTGCTGGACGTGGAGCATGGCACCCTCTTCAGCGTATCTCAGTACTGTGGCCAGCCAGGGCTCGGCTACTTCTGCCTGGAGGCTGACAAGGCAACACTGTACCACCGAGGTTTGTGAGCTGGGGCTGGTTGCTGCTGTGTCCCTAGGGCTTAAGTGGAGTGGGCGGCCAGTACCTGGCAAGGGGCTCACAAGATCTCTCCCCAGCGGCCATGGACGACTACGTGCTGCCCAGTCACCTGCAGCTGCCCAGCTTTGCCCCCCCAGCCCACCTGGCCCCAACTATCTACCCATCCGAGGAAGGGGTGATTGAGCAGGGAGCCTCAGGCCGCAAGGGCCAAGGGCATGGCACCCCCATGCTGACCACTGCTGTGCGTATTCACTTGGACCCCCACAAGAACATCAAGGTATGGCTTCCCCTCTGGGCACCTGTCCCTGGGGCTGAGTAGCTGCCTCCACTGTGGGTGTGAGAGCTCTGTTCCTCATCCTGACTCCAGGAGTTCCTGGTGACACTACGACTGCACAAGGCCACACTGCGCCACTACATGTCCTTGCCTGAACAGAGCTGGCACTCCCAGGTAAGCAGAGGTGACTTGGACCTTGGACTTTTGGTTTGGGTGGCAGGCCAGGGGGTCCAAAGGGGCCAGTGTGAAGAACCATACCTGGGCCAGAGTACCTAGAAAGGCATGTGATGGGCAGTGGGGTTTGGGGGAGGCTACCTGTGCTCACTTTTCACCTACCCTGGAAGCTGTTGGAGTTCTTAGATGTGCTGGACGACCCTGTGCTGGGCTACCTGCCCCCAACAGTCATCACCATCTTGCACACACACTTGTTCTCCTGTGCTGTGGACTACAGGTGCCCAGGATGTGAGGGATGGGCGGGTGGGGGTGGGGTAGGGCTTCTGCTATAAGGAGCAAACTCCAGCCCACATGTGACCTCCCCATGCCAGACCGCTCTACCTCCCAGTGCGGGTCCTCATCACCGCCGAGACCTTCACGCTCTCCAGCAATATCGTTATGGACACATCGACCTTCTTGCTCAGGTATGTGGGCTTTACCCACTGCGGCCTACTACACGTGCTGGGCTCTCTCTGACCCTCCCCTCAGAGACACATTGTTTCTACTTGCTTTGAGGAAACCTGAGCACCTCAAATCCATCTTAAAAGCATCCATGAGCTCTGTCTGACCTCACTTCTTGAGTTTGCCCAGAGTATATAAGGAAAACGGAGTTACTGCCTCTGTAGTACAGTTTAGGAGTTACTGCCTCTGTAGTACAGTTTAGGAGTTACTGCCTCTGTAGTACAGTTTAGCCTAGTCCAGACCAGCACAGGGGAAGAGCTCAGTGGCAGAGCACATATGCAGCTTGTGTGAGGCCCCAGGTTTGATCTTCAGCGCCACAAAAAAATTAAACACTCCAAACTCAGTGACAGCATAAATGCCCCCAAATCACCGAGTAATGGTTGTGCCTGCATTGCTGGGTGGGACACTACAGCCACAAAGTGGAGTTGAAGAGTAATGTGGAGAAGGCAAATAAAAAATTCACATGTGTTATTTATATGTGACTGTAATTATGTCATTCATGCAAACATGAACTAAAAATAAAGTTAGCTGCCTCAAAAAAACCCTGAAAAATGTTTTTATATGTATAGTATGACAAGTACTATTCTGAAAAATAGGATACAAGACTACATTTTGTCCTTTTTTTAAAAAAAATTATTTATTTGTGTGTGTGTGTGTGTGTGTGGCCAGCTCAGCCCACCAGGGGGCAGGGCTGGCTGGCATGTGGTGCTGGGGGATTGAACTGCGGTCCCTGTGCTTT